GTAATTAGTAACTTCTATATTCTGTATACAGAATACTGTTCTGTAACCAGCAACATCCAATGGAAACTTTTCAGTTTTTGTTTTATTTGACTCTCAACAGCATTTGAGAAAACTAACCACTTCTCTTTGAAACATGGTCTTCACTGATTTTCCTAACACCACACACTCCTGATTTTCTGTCTACTTCTTGGGGGATCCTTCTCAGGCTTCTTTGCTGGCTAGGCTCCTTTTCTATCCAACTTCTTTTTTCTTCCTATTCATTTATTTTTATTTTATTATTTTATGTTATTTTATTTTTTCAGCTTTACTGAGGTATAACTGACAAATATCTACCAAGCCTTTTAAAGCAGAAGGTACTCAGAGTGTAATTCTGCATTCTCTTGTTTTTTGCCTATTCTTATGACTTGGCTTAAGAAAATATTTACATACGCAATGATCACAAATCTAGATTTACATTCCAAACTAGCCTTTGAGCTCCAGATTCTTATATCTGCGCATTTAACTTTTCCACTAGGATGTTTTATCGGCACCTCAAAGTATGTCCAAAGTAATCACTCGACCTTCCTCCCAAACCCATATTGAACTCTTGCGTCCTCAGGAGCTTTGCTATTTCCTCCATCTGAACACAACTCTCCACCCCTTTACCTGGCTAACTCCTACTCATCCTTTAAGTTTCCATTTAAATGTCACTCCTTTAAAAAGGCCTTCTTTAACCTTCCTAACTAAATTAGGCTATCTCATAGCACCCTATATTTCCCTTTAGAGCACATATAACCACTTACAATTACATATGTATTTGTGATCTATCTGTTCAATTCTGACTTCTCCCTCTTGTGCTAGGTTAGAAGCACCATTATCGACTTCCGTACCTCTTCAAGTCTGCTCAAAGTTCATCTTCTCAATGAGGCCTTTCCTGACCTCCTATAGAGAATTTCAACCCTGCCCTCCCATCTCCTCCATTTTGCTCTAGTTTTCTCCCTCTCACAGCACTTACGTACCTCTAATATTCCATACAATTTGCTTATTTATATTTATTAATCTTTGTTTTTCTCTCCACTCTAGTATGTAAGCTCCATAAAGATTTCTTGTCTCTTTCGTTCATTGATATGTTCCAAATGCCCAGCACATGATAAGAATTTGATAAATATCTGTTGAATGAATGAGAGGCTGTTTCTATTTTTCTCTCCACACTGTCTTCCAAACTAATCAGTTTCTTTCTAATTAAGGTTCAGACAATATAAAATCTAAGATGACAAATGGGAACACAACACCATAAACACAGTGGGATCTCATATTTTGTGAATGAATGAATGCTGAATGAATGCTTTCGGATGAAAAAGGCATATTTAATTTGGAATCTAGGAGGTGGCCCTCACATTCCTCATAGGAATGAATGACGGACCTACCCAGTGAATCTGTGCCATTAAGGGAAGGCTAGACAGCACTATGCAGTAGTGGAAGAAGCTGGGGACTTGGAATCCTAAAGGGAGTGCGCTCCATTCCCAGGTCTACCATTTGACAAAACCTGGCAACTTCCCTGGGCCCATTATTTCACCCCCCCCCCCCTTGAGGGGATGAAACCAGATGATCCAGTTCACCTAAACTAGATGATCTACTAAAATGTAAGCTCCATGAGGCCAGGGCCTGCATCTGTCTTGTTCACTGGTGTGAAAACAAGGCCTAGATCAGTATGTCTGGCACATAATAGGCCTTCAAGAATTTGTGGAAAGATCTCTAAAAATGCCTTCCAGGGCTAACATTTTAAGGAAAAAATAACTTTGAGGTATCCTAAATAAATCATTCTTTTTACAGAGAAAACCATATACAGATTATATCATCTTAGAAATACCCTAGTGCGGGCCACTCCTGTGGCTTAGCGGTTAAGTGCGCGCTCCGCTACTGGCGGCCCAGGGTTCGGATCCCGGGCGCGCACGGATGCACGGCTTCTCCGGCCATGCTGAGGCAGCGTCCCACATACAGCAACTAGAAGGATGTGCAACTATGAAATACAACTATCTACTGGGGCTTTGGGGGAGAAAAAAGGAGGAGGATTGGCAACAGATGTTAGCTCAGAGCCGGTCTTCCTCAGCAAAAAGAGGAGGATTAGCACAGATGTTAGCTCAGGGCTGATCTCCCTCACAAAAAAAAAAAAAAGAAAGAAATACCCTAGTGCGTGCTGAAGAGTACAAATAAAGAAGAAATGCCTGTTTCCTCCTGGTGAGTTGGCTACAGCGTTACATTTTCTCTATGACCTCTTGGGATCTGTAACCATATTTATATAAATAATCATATTTATATATTTAGCGCTTTATTTAAAACCTTTCGCTCTAGGTGCGAGGACACCAAACGTCTGAGGAACTATGTACTTACATTGTACAACTTCCTACTGGTTCGTCTTGTTGGCGGTCCTTCCCTGCCATTATGTAGTTTCCAAGGCAGAAAGACCTCCTCCCACTTCCCAGCCCCTTCCTTCTTCACCCATCCTCCGCCTTCCCCCTCCTCCCCGACTCGTGGCTCTCCCTTGGCTGGTCCGACGCTGGGAGAGGCTGGCCCAGGGCTCAGCGCCCCCCAGCAGCGCCCCCCAGCAGCGCCCCGCAAACCGCCTCCCCCTGCCGGTTACCGCGGATCGTCTGCTTGCCAATCTACGCTAGAAATGTGCTTTCGTATCAAAAGGAAATCATCTTTTCCACCGTAAACTACGGACCACTAGTGGGGAGTGAAATCTGTGTGTTTACACTTGTTTTCTAGCCCCGGAGCTGCCGAGGGAATTGATTGGTTCCCTCTCGCCCGCGACGCCTGGGGTCCCCCCCGCGCCCCGCCCGGACCCCGCCCCTCGCGCGGCCATCTGCTTCGCTGGCTGTCCCCGCGTCTCTCACTCAGCATCTTTCCCCTCCGCCGCCTCCCTGCCCGCGCGGCCGGCTCCGCCCCTTCCCCCTCCCCCCGCCCGGGGCTCTGGATCTTCCCCGGCCGTTGCCAGGGAGACAAGCCCATACCAGGCAAATAGGCATTCGAGAAAGAAAAGGGGGGAAAGCTACGCGGCAGCCTGGTAACAAAGGAGCAATAAAAGCAGCCCCCAAATGGAGGGCTGAGGACTGGTCTGCGGGAAAATCCGAAAGCGAGCTAGGAATCACCCCAAGTTAAAATGGGGAGGGGATACAGAGGGCATGATTCACGTTGGGAATGGAGGGGAAATCAATAGCCTAAAATGAGCTTTCGAGAATCGCCTGGATGGTGGTTTTGGATCAGACCAGTTGGCTTTTCAAGTTGGAACTCCGCTAATCCAAGGGATTCGCGCCCATCGCGGCGGCCGGGGTCTCGGGCAGGCCGGCGGGCCCCCTTAAGGCTGATAACACGTTTGGCAAGATACTCATGTACGGAACCGTCTTTCCATCAGCTCCGGGGAATGTGACTCCGTGACTGAAGGATGCATCTGAAGGCAGTGGACACTGAGAAGATGAAGCTTCACGTAACGGTGGGCAGCTTGGTAATTTTCAAAGCGGTACTTGAACCAAGAGTTATTGGCTTGAACCAAAGTGTGACCCATTTCCCTACAATGAGCAAAAAATAAAACTGTTTGAGAATTCAGAGCCAGCACCAGGAGAAATGAACCATTCTCTCGACTGCTTCTCACCTCCATAAGGGAAAGATGATTCATTTCGGGATCACTAAATGTAAACGAGGAAAGGTGGTCTGATTTGGACACGAGTGAAAACTTGGGGAGTGAAAATGTAGGTGGTAGGAGAATGCTTATTAGGCTGTATCCTGGATTTTTGCCCCACCCCCCACCCCATACTTTAAATCAGTGCCTTGTCTTTCACACAGAAATAGCGTCTGGTTCTTCGGTGGCAAGGAGTGCAGATGGAGGTACCCTGTGTCCCTTACAGAAGCTTTTCTTCTAACCCAAGTTAGACTTGGAGCATTCAGGGATCTTCTTGCTCTCTCTCAACATGCAGACAATTTCTCCTTGGAACTGTAATCGTCAATCCGGTTTTTACAATTTCATTGCTGCTGCCTTCCTCCCTTCCAGGAGCACACTCACTTGCACGTACACTCATACACGTTCAGAAAGAAAGAGTCCACCCGATCCTGGCGGTCGGCTGAAAACGATCCAAATTGACGCGAATTGCATCCCAACTGTAAATATGGATTCGTACACCCGAGGCTATGTCTCGCTTCACCATAGAGGAAAATTAGTTCTGTCATTCCATACAGTGATAAAATGCGAACCGTTTCGATCTTTTGTAAATGATCCTCACTTTCTATTGTGGGGAAAAAATCACTAATTGGGAATAGTCAGAGGGGGGATTTGATGAGCGCCGCAGGCCAACCTCAAAGTATTTTATGTCATGCCAATGTGGGATAGCGAAGGGAGTGTGGCTTCGGCTGCTTGCGCTTCTGCGTTTTCCACATCTGGCCTACAGACCTAATTCTAACTCGCGATCTCGTTTGATGAAATTCGATCTTCGTGGTTTAAATACCTTTCAATTTGGGGCGATTTAACATTTGCAACCGTTAAAAACACAAGCCTGTGCAGTTTCTGTGAAACCAATATGGAACACGGAGAACGAAAACAGGCTGCACACAAGTCCCAACCATTGTCTTTAACACTCGCATACACACGCATACACATAAACACACGGGGAAGATGGGGGAGGGGAGCGAATGGAGCGAGACAGACACGGATATAGACCGACGAGTCAAAGCGAGTCAAGTTAACGCTTTCTCCGCCCCCCTCCACAAGCACCCCCCTCCCACGTTAATTAATTACAAACAAAGCAAGCCAATCAAGTCATGCATTATTATTTTCAAGCAGAAGGAGGCGAGAGGCATGTATTTTTTTAATTGATTTATTTATTTGGAGGACATTAATTCTCAGTCTGAGGCTGATTTTCAAACCGTTTGCAAAGCGCGGCTCCATTGTTCGCCGGCCGCGCAGGCTCCGCCCCCTGCTTTGTGTGCGGCGCGCGGATTGGCCGGCGCGCGCGGGGGCCGCGTCAGCGCCCGCGAGCCCATTCATCTGTGCACTTGGGCGTTGGACCCCGCATCTTATTAGCAACCAGGGAGATTTCTCCATTTTCCTCTTGTCTACAGTGCGACTACAAATCTGGGATTTTTTTTATTACTTCTTTTTTTAAAAAAACTACACTTGGGCTCCTTTTTTTGTGCTCGACTTTTCCACCCTTTTTCCCTCCCTCCTGCGCTGCTGCTTTTTGATCTCTTCGACTAAAATTTTTTTATCCGGAGTGTATTTAATCGGTTCTGTTCTGTCCTCTTCACCACCCCCACTCCCCCCTCCCTCCGGTGTGTGTGCTGCTGCCGCTGCCGCCGCTGCTGCTGCCGCTGCTGCCGCTCGCCCCGTCGTTACACCAACCCGAAGCTCTTTGTTCCTCCCTTGGATCTGTTGAGTTTCTTTGTTGAAGAAGCCAGCATGGGTGCCCAGTTCTCCAAGACCGCTGCGAAGGGAGAAGCCGCCGCGGAGAGGCCCGGGGAGGCGGCTGTGGCCTCGTCGCCTTCCAAAGCGAATGGGCAGGTAAATTCTACCTGTGATTCTGGTCATTTCTTGGGTGTCTTTCTCTGGTCCTGACGCTTCCCCTTCCCTCCCGGTCGCGCCTAAGGCGCATTCGGCGGAGAGGAGCGTGGCCAGATTCTAGTCTGAAAGTTGAAAGGAAAGCGATAGCCTAAATTGTCAATTTCTCATAGGAGGGGTCTACCCCCCCCACTCCAAAGGAGTGGTTCCCGGACAATCCTGGCTAATTCTTGTGTAGATGGGAAGCAAGAAGTGATAAATCGTCTAAAATGGCGTGTTTGGAGGTTGGCAGAACGTGACTAGCTAGGTGCACCCCCCCCCCGCCCCCAGCCAGGTTGCGTTTGTATTTGGTGTTGGGCACAAAGGTGTCTGGGTGGTTTTCGTGTTTGTTGTCGAGACTGGGTCGCCTTCAAGATTTCTGAACTGGTGTGATTGTGTGGGTAGGGAAAGGGGCGGGGGGGGGTCGCAATGGGGATGGCGGTGGAGAAAGGCGAGGAGGGAAGAGCTGTCTTATTGTATGCTGAGGCGGCGTGCCCTGGGTTCTTGGAAAGGTTGCTGGCTGCCTGGCTGGACGTGGGCAGAAGGGTTTCAGTACCTTTCGATGGGGCTTTCCCACTGTTCTAAATCTTGATTCGTAGCTGTCTGTGGAATTACACACCCATCTGACTTTTAAATGGTCTCCCTGGGGTGGGAAGACCCTGTGGGTCCTTGAAGAACCTGTCCAGATGGTCAAGAGGCAGTTCGTGTGTTTCGGTCGGGATTGTTCGTGTGCCTGGCGCCTCCACCACTGCGGGGGCCGCCCCGGCGCTGCCTGGACCCAGGCGGATGGCCATGGTTGGGTGGGCGCGAGAGGTCGGCCATGGGTGGCTGCTTCGCAAACACTGGGCGCCCACCACGCCTCTTTTCCTAGAGCAGAGGCCGTGTTGCCTCGCCTGCTCTAACCTAATTGGGAAGACGAGCTCTGCCAAGAGGCTCTGAACCCGTTAAAAATGCAAAATGAGCCGCCGGGGCGCGCCCGGGCTTCGCAGAATCACGGGCGCCGGTGGGCGTGGAAGCAGAGGCGAGACCTCAGAAATAATGGGTTTTCCCCCTTGCTCGTTGGTTTTATCCCGACCGGGATGCCACCTGAGCTTTGTTTGCGGGCTCTCGCTGCGCGATCCGGGCTCGGGGGCGCCTCGGCCGGCGGGCAGGGCCCGGCCGGGCAGGGCGGGGTGGCCCGGCGGCCCCGCCCCTCCGCGCCCAGCTCCGCGCGGTGGAGGCGCAGCGCCCCCTGCCGACCCCAGGTCTAAGCGGGCGGAAGGCCCTTGCGCGCGCAGCCTGGGCGCTTCTGGCTGGAGCGCTCTGATCCCCCCGGGAGTTGGTTGTTGAAGGGGCCTTTAGAGTTTAGGGAGAACCGGGAGTGTGTAGCCTAGGCGCGGCCACCGGCTCTGGCTCTGTGCCTTCTTCCCCATGGCGTTTGGTGTGTCATATGTTACGTGGCTTCTTTTTTCCAAAGCCCATGAGGCGAAGGCTGCAATGGGTTGTTACCCTTCCTTTACACGTTTCGGACTCGGCCCTTTTAAATCCTTAGTGCATTTCTGGAGTGGTCGAGGCTACTGCTGTGCCCTTAGGGCGCACCAAACGGCGCTGCCCCCGTTTCTTCGTGGAACTCTTGTCTGCGCGTCCGACCCCGCCTCCCCATAAGGGAGCGAGACTCCAAAGCCGGAGGGGCCGGGGGCCGCTGGTCCCTCCTGTCCCAGGGGCGGGGGCGGGAATGGCGGCGCCCGGGCCGCTCCAGTGACGCTCCCCCTTTCTCTGCCCCGCAGGAAAATGGCCACGTGAAGGTAAACGGCGACGCTTCTCCGGCGGCCGCCGAGCCGGGCGCCAAGGAGGAGCTGCAGGCCAACGGCAGCGCCCCGGCCGCCGACAAGGAGGAGCCCGCGGCCGCCGGGAGCGGGGCGGCGTCGCCCGCCGCGGCCGAGAAAGAGGAGCCGGCCGCCGCCCCCGAGGCCGGGGCCAGCCCTGCGGAGAAGGAGGCGTCCGCCGAGGGCGAGGCCGCCGAGCCCGGCTCGCCCACGGCCGCGGAGGGGGAGGCCGCGTCGGCCGCCTCCTCGACGTCTTCGCCCAAGGCCGAGGACGGCGCCACGCCCTCGCCTAGCAACGAGACCCCGAAAAAAAAAAAGAAGCGCTTTTCCTTCAAGAAGTCTTTCAAGCTGAGCGGCTTCTCCTTCAAGAAGAACAAGAAGGAGGCGGGCGAGGGCGCTGAGGCCGAGGGCGCAGCCGGCGCGGCCGCCGAAAGCGCCAAGGAC